AAAAAAAACAATCCAAAATATGTGCCAAAATATAAACCATAAAGGGTTGATAAACCGTAAAAAAATTAAATAACGTGTTCATTTTTATTAACTATTATTGTATCAAAAAATGTTAATAAAAATGAACACGCTACCGCCCCTGTCTAAATGATTGGCCTTCTGTATCCTTGGAAACAAAAATTATGAATTATATGTGCGTTTAAAACTCAGTAAATTTAAAATAAGTTATTCCAAAATTCGCTTGAAGATGAAACAGAACTAATGCTTTTAATTTAATTATATAATTAAATTTGAAGTTTTTAGCTTGGTTTTTGAAACATGGTAATTCCTGTGTAGCGAAGAAACCATATTTTAAATCAGTTAATTTATAATATATATATATATATATATATATATATATATATATATATATATATATATATATATATATATATATATAATGACTTTAGGTAATGTATGATACGAAAACAGTTCTGCTCTCTCTGAATATTTCTGGCAATTAAAGAATGATGGCAATAAACCTTTTATCAACTGGGATATTTTAGAAAGAGCCAAATCTTATAACTGAATTGTTGTAACCTAGGGAAGGTTACTGAATAGAATAATCACACGAAGGTTGGTAATGAACGATAATACTTAGGACAAGAACAACACATATAAGATTCGCCAGAGGCGCGTAAAAGTAGTCAAATGCTAAAAGTGAGGCAAATGAATTCCACAATGAATCTCCAACTGCAGGATATCTACAAACTGTCCAATGCGGTCAGATGTGGCACAAGGCCGAATTTAATATGAGGTATCCGAGCTCGTAGATTAGGCCAAAAATTCCGCGTAGACGCCGTATAAAACGGAGTAGGGTAACTGTTTCCTGAGACGAGACTCTGCCCTTCGACATGGCCTCGTCTGGGAAGCCGCTATACCCGGAAGCAGTGTTTGACCAGCACAGCTGGAGACAAAAGTCTACTGCGTCTTAAGTTAAAAGACCCAGTAGACTTTTGAATTCAATTCCATTTTCCCAAGATAAAAAATGTTATTTCATTTGCGATAAAAGAAATACAAAATGATGCATGCATTCAATATTTATATATATATATATATATATATATATATATATATATATATATATGTGTGTGTCTGTATAAATATAAATATATATATAATATATATATTATTATTTATATATTATATGCGGGTACTTATTAGAAAGGGCTCAATATCAGAGATAGAGCTAATATATATATATATATATATATATATATATATATATATATATATATTATTGAAAAGCAATTAATGGCCCTTTCACAATAAGCATCTTTCGCAAGTTTTGCAAACAACCAATTATCAAGAATTCCTTTTCAGGGCTCAAAAATCATTTCGAAAGAAATACCACAGATTGTCATATAAAAATGAAAACCAAACAAAGAAATTAATATTTATTCAATTTTATTTTGATTTCTTTTCTCCGTTCATAGAATTCTGTAGGACCTAATGGAAGGCAGGGAGAGCTTTCTGTGGCGGGTAAATTTTTATTATTCAATGAAACATTTTTGAATGAAGATATGCTGCGTATATATATATATATATATATATATATATATATATATATATATATATATATATATATATATATTATAAATGCCTGCTTCAGAAATATTATTGCTATTAGTGAAACCTATAATAATTCCAGATCTATCTATTCTGAGAGCATTAAGAATCTGCAGCCCCCAATATTTACCTAAAGAAGAAACATACATAGAAAACACATTCAAAAACTTACAGTACCCATATCATTTCATCCACAATGCAAGAAGAAAGGCTTACAAGATATATAACTGAAACAAAAATAATAACATAATCCGCAATAGCAAATTACATGAAAACAAATACATAATACTAGCGACCAACTCTGTCACGTCCACTATCCAGAATAACCTATCCCATCTAAATAATCTTAAAATTGTCACAAACACTTCCAAAACCATTATGGATATATTTCTTTTAATAATACTTATGATGGACAATTAAAAGGAGAAAAAAAAATGAAAAATAGGGCTAGCTAACCGGTTTCGAACCTCGTTCAGCAGAGTTAAATCGAGATCAATATATAGCTAAGAAAAGTCGTATGGTGTGCATTTCGGAAGACGAAAAAAGCTGTAGCTGACGTAAGGTACACAAGTCGATACCCGATCAGTATCGGCTGAGTCACCGTGGAGACGGGGTATGATTTTCAAAGACCCAAAACTCCTAATGAACCTCGGCTAGATACATCACTGATGATGTGTACTAAAGCATCCAATAGATCTATTTTACGAAATATATATCATCAAAAAAAAAAAAGAAAAAAAAAGAATGGGAAAGAGGAAAAAATATTTTTAAATAGAAACCACTTAGAGTCCCAAATCCTTCTGCTTACAAAGAGAAGGCTGCTAGGGTTGAATATATATGGCCTGTACCATTTTCAAGTGGCAATTGGAGTGTGACTTACTTAAAATGGAAAAAGAGTCCATACTGAAATTAGCAGCACAATTGCGGTTATTTATGAGGTGTTCGGCGATAGAAGACCCGTATGTGTCAGAATAACTGAAAGTAAATAATTGGAGACACGGATTTTTTGTTGGCACGAGTTGTTTAATCCTTACATCCAACCTTTGATTGCTTCTTCCTACAACGACATTTGAATAAATAAATAATGGATGCCAAGATGGTTTTAGTAGAAACATAGTATATATATATATATATATATAGTTTTAAGGTGTGCTATATTTATGAGACAAAGTGCTCAATATCAAAGATAGAGCGTATGTAAATATAAATATAAAAGTGAGCATTGAAGTCAACACTCAGAGGCCACAGGCTGTTTCATGCTGGTGGCAATCGTCAGGCCGCCGATGTATATATATATATATATATATATATAATGATAATAACAAGACGGAGACTTTAATTATCTATTTCGCTTATAATTTTTATTTCATGAACACCGAACATATCATTTCATGAACATATATATATCGACGGCCCACAAGAGTTTCGTCTACCCAATTTCACGCACAAGTCTTGGGCGTGGTATTGTTTTCATATACTTTCGAAAGGTTCCGCATGCTGGAATCGACCTCGATCCATTCCGATAACATCTGGAAGTCTTCTTCCTGACAAATAGACCATATATACCTGTGCCAACACAAAGCCACAAGTCATCGTGGCCGAGGCTTTGAGTGCGCTGGCCTTGTTCAGATTGATGATCACGCGAGATAACACGCTCTCTCGTAGAATCTGTAACTAAGGTCCGCTCAGCATAGTCGCTGTATGAACCACATGTGGGCTCTGTGGGTGTTGAGCCAACACAATGTGCCTGAGCGAGCGTCTGCAATAGCCGCCCTATTAGACGGGTGTCTTCGAATGCGAGTGGTTAGCTTTAAATTTAAATATATATATATATATATATATATATATATATATATATATATATATATATATAGGGTCTGGTAAAAGTAACTCCCTTTTCATTTATGAAATTTTATTGAACAAAAATAAATTATAGTATAAGAAAGTTTATAAGAATATAAGTGTTATAGTGGAACACACCTATTCTATAGTTAATAGACTCTCCCACCTATAATAAGTAGGAGTATTAATAGTAACGGGAAGGAGCTGAATGAATTTGTCAGTCAGTCGATGTCGGACGACCGTTAGTCGGATATTAAAGTATCAGCGACCACGACTAGATTTCTCTGCGTCATTACCTATTATATCAAGTTCCTAACGTTTTGTACGTCGAACCTATTTTAGGACCGACTTAGTACAAATACAAGCCTCCACTATGAAAACTACTCTACAACAATAAGTATTATCAAATGAAAATAACAGGACTTGTTATGATTGACAAAGTAATTACCAAAATGTTTAAAATTCTCCGCATCGGGTTCAATACAAAGATGAACCTTAGCAGAAACACTTAACACTAAAAGCAGTTGACGCATTTCTACATTAATCTTAGAAAATTTATCAGAAATTCCTTGTTTCAATTTAAACATTGTTTTCGGTTTGAGCCTGTAAACAAGATATTTCAGTAGACCCAACAAGAAAAAGTTTGTTGCTGTTAGGTCTATTAATCTTGATAGCCACTGAATTGTTCCACGTCGTCCGATCCACCACAAATAGAAATTAAAATTCAACCATTCTCCATAGTTTATCTTAAGCCATCTTAAACATTTGCCGCGCCTTATATATTGGTGTTTGACTTCATTTTTTCTTTTTGTAGCTAGTAGTAATAATGGGAATACTGTACATAATTTTTGCGCATCAAATTCAAACACCATTCTAACACCCCTTTGTAACATCGAAGCGATTAAATCTGGTTCGACTGTCAAATACAGAAGTATTGGATATTGTGTCCTGTGATTTTTTTTTTTATTTTACAGACTTTTGAACCGTACAAAGGCGAAAGCTTACATTTTTTGTTTCTTTTTTTTTAAATATGTATTACGTGTGTGCAAAAGTTCCTGCTCGCTTTTACTTAAAAAAATGAAAATGAAATACACAGTAGAAAAATAAGTTTTTACAAAAATAAAAATGTCTGAAACTTTTGCACACACTTCATTTTAGATTTCTCATATCATTGTCAATTCATATAGATTACTCACCGGCATTTATTTTATCTTATTTCAATTGTTTTTTTTTTCTGTTTTTTTTTTTTTTGTTTTTTTCATCGCAATTCATTTTGAAGTTGCATATATAGAAAATGAAGAAAGAGTTTTTTCTGAGATTTCAACTCGCATTTCTTATTCTCAGAGTTTCGTCTTTCACTGAGCATTTATTCTTGATCCATACTGTTTAAAATACGATTGTGGAATGAAGATCCGTTAATTGCGATAAAAAGCAATAGAAATAAGATGAAATCCTAATGAAAAATCTATATTTTTTCTTTGTGTAATTTTTTCGAGTGTTTCGTATATATATTTTTTTATTTTTCTTTGAATTTTTTACTTGTATTTCAG